CCCCAAAACCCCAAAACCCCAAAACCCCAAAACCCCAAAACCCCTTCTTATTATTTATTCAAATAAATATATAAAATAAATGGGATGATGACAATCGAGGCCTCCTAACGAGAGTGCCGTCAGAATGCATAATGAATCAAATGTGATAAAGGCCAGCCCAGAGAACACAAAGATGGCAATAGACGCCCAAAAAACAAGAGGGAGCAAAGGTAAGCTCTTCTTTACACTTTCCTCACATACAGTCTTTCTAATACTTTACAACAGTTATTTAACTATAACTTCATCGCTCATGTCAACTTCAAACATATTTAGTTGAATCTCAGAAAAACGAAAGTGTGGGAATCCACGACGAAAGATCAAAAACTAAAGGAAAAGGCATAAAGAAAGCAGTCCCAGAACCACAAAAAATAGAGAAAGCTACTGAGAATATAGAGGACTCCCAAAAAGTAGATCATCTTTCTTGTTTCCAAAATTAGCTCACCAATACACCTAATGCTTTACCCTTAGGAAAATCAGAGTGTGGTACCAGCTAGCGTAAGAAGAGAAGAAGAGAAAAGACAACAACTTCGAAACCAGAACTCCAAGCCAACAGAGGAAAATAAAATCCCAAAGCCAGAGACGAGTAAACATCGAACCAAGGCTGAGCCTCCACAGCCACAAAAGAGCGATCATAGCTTAGATAAGCAGATTGAGAAGCGAAGTGAGTCTGATCGTAAGCCAGTAATGGCTTCTGAAGGATCGATCCCCCAGCCTGATATTCCAAAAGAAAATGTTCATAAAAATAAACCATCTTCCAAAAAGTCAATACCAAAAGACGAGGTGAGGTCAGAATCTAAGCTAGCTGAGAGCACAAAGAAATCTGTCGAGGTTAAATCTCCACTGGCTCAAATCACAAAGCCACAAATCTCTAAAGTTGGCGAAGAAGTTAAAGCTCCTTCTGAAAAACACTCAAGAAATGCACCTCAAAATCAGCAAGTCACTCAGAGCGATAGAAGTATTGATAAGTCATGCACTAGTAAGATTGCGAATGAATATGTTGGAGATGTGTTCGGAAATATAATAAATGACTATTCTGTGCATATGAAAGATCAGAACCAGAGTATTGACCAATCCTCTAGCATAGCTTATCCACAAGATTCACACGACCAATCAATAGAGAAGAGGGTGTCGTTGAATAGCTCGATAGACCCAGCCAAGGTGTCCCCAAAAAATGCTGAAATTTCAGAAGGTCCAGTCTCAGCTGTTGACAAGAGTTCTTCCACTATCAGGAATATTGCCAACGACTATGTTTCAGATATGGTAGATAAACTTTTATAATTTTCAGCTATAAAGCATAGGCAGGGGTTTTGGGGTTTTGGGGTTTTGGGGTTTTGGGGTTTTGGGGTTTTGGGGTTTTGGGG